GCCAAGTATATCCGGCTTTAAATGTTTGTAAATTTTCTATGTCCCTCGCTTGTAAAGCCCATCGCCGTAGATCTACTTCATGCACAATTACTCTTAACTGCCGAGCTTCCATAAATTTATTAAATGTATACTCTGCAATACGTTTTATCTTTTCCTTTTTTGTGCCACCCTGTTCAACTTGTAAAGCCCATTTACGAAGCATTCTTTCGGATTTCACGTTACGGAATTTGGAACGTACGCTGTCTAATTTTAATCGTTTCGACTTCCCGCTGTTCCAGTACGCCACAGCTTTCCTTTTATATTCGAATGGGATGTATTCCTTATTCGAATGACATACAACGTCTTGTTCGTATATGTTTGGAATATTCGGTGTCCTATTTTCCTCCTCTTCATCTACCCACAACCAGTTCAAATCAGCATCCTGATTTTCTTGGTCGATAGGCGTCCCGTCCATTTCAACACACGTTTCATGTTCAACCAGGAATGCCGTGTCTTCGACACTTCTTACAATTAAATCGAATAATACATCCCTTAAATTTTCTTCTGCGCTATTAATTGGCGTGGGTCCCTGGTTCCACACAACAAACGCAGCAGACAGTAAAGTTATTACATTAATAGGATTAATATTTACCATCTTTCCGAATACAGTAAAAGCTGGATATATGCAAGAAAAGATTGGCTGGATAAGTGCAACGTTTAAATGCCCAGAATCGGCACCTCGGCTGTATGGATAACCAACAATGTTCTACACGCTTATAAAGAGCTAATTGCAATATATATATATATATATATATATCCAAGTTCTCCCACTTATCTACCAACAAATATTATTTTCACATGACAAGGGCAATCAATTTAATTAACTTTACGATATGTCACGTTATCAAAAGGTATAATACAAATTCCATTTCAATATACCCATTTTATCATGTTTATTACAAAAACCGTCTCGATTTTAAAGAATGTTAATAACAACTAAGATACAAATGCACGTACTAATCTCATTTGACACGTATTTTTATTATACAAATTACACAGAATGCTTTCACAACAGTGAAGATTTAGATAACGTGCGTAAACTGCATGATAGGCGAGCCGCAGAAATGACAATATTTATTTATTCAATTTGTATTTTAAAGCAAGTACATCATGAGAATAATAAGTGTATCTTTATCTCCTGGTATACACACTGTATGTATTTATAATTTATAAATCGCTCCCCCTTTGCCACAATGTCATAGGTGGGCATAAAAAAAACTCTTTTCATTGCTGTTAAGAAACTTGTTACTGTTATTGTTACTTGTTACTTGTTACTGTATAATTTAGTGCAAGCCTACAATGCTTCATTAAAATCAAAGTTAGAACGGCTACTACCATAATGAATGTGCGCGCAAGATGTAAATCATCAAAATCTGCAAAACTGTAAGAGGCAATTTAAAAAAATCGCATACCAATGGATTTGGAATAAAATGCTCGTCATTTTTTGTCATTATGAAAATTTCAATAAAATGAAAAATTAAGTTAATAAATTTTTTTTTGTTATAAACAAATTGTATTTTTTTTAAATTTTTTAGCACCATGTTATTGTACATAAGAAACCATCAACCTCGCCCATTAACAATTTTTTTGTATGTCTTTCCGTTTTCGAGATAGCCGTTTCGAGTCAAAACTTCAAGGGGTGGTTTCACCCCTTAAACTCGAGTTACCGCAGCTAAAAAAAAATACGTGTCGATTATTTTTGGCTGCTTTATAAGTGTACAAAGTTTCATCAAAATCGAAGCCGGACCGTTCGCGATGGTTCCTTGTAAGTCAGTCTTGTTTTTCCCATTTCTACTGTAAGTACGGAAGCCTGGACGAAGTACACAAATGTCTCATCCAGGACGAGTCATCGGCAGCCAGTCATCAGATACTAAGGGTCACCGACATCCCCTCCTCAGTGAAAAGCCTAATATATAAGGACCAGCATCACTAGAGTCAGTGCCTTTTTCCCTTTCAACCCTATTGCGGTAGCGGTCATTCGAATTTGTTATTTCCGTGTCGGTCTGTATGTGTCCGGAGTGTACATTTCTCACCCGGATCCTAACAAAATGAATCGCTGATATTGCTGTTGAAACAACATTTCCATCTAGTGTTATGTCTTTAACGATCTATCGCTATCCTGAATCACAAACCCCTTCTGTCAATTAGCTGAAATCTACAAAAACATCTTAGTCAGCGCAACACCATGCGATGCGAGTATGCAGTTACCAGCCTTCTCAAGCTGACGACCCCATTCTCGCACCCCATCCCACCCCATCTGCCACCTGGGGACGCTCCAAGTAAGGGGTTCACCTCCCCTGTCGCCTGGACAGTCAAACGGGTGCCTGGTGTCTGAGGAAAAGACTTGGCGTTGCCCTAACCGGTCATTTTCTTATCTACCTCCTCCTTATTTGTGATTCAAAAATAATATCATAATGTGTACCTGTCTGTTGGTACATTGACGCACTATTATAGTTAATGGTCGAAGAAAGTGACAAAAGGGAAGAGAGAATTTTACTTCGGCAGTCAAATATTAAATGTGCATTATAATTTAATATTTTGTAACATGTCTTCGTTTCACTATTTCTTTCAATCTATTTGGCATTAAATGAACTAACTTCTTTGTTAAATCACTGCTGATTCTAGACCCTTCTGCTGAAATTATTTGTTTTAATTTCGATTCATTCGAAATGTGGCGTTTACGAATATCTTTTTCCAATTGATACCAAATATTTTTCTATAAGATGGCGGTTATTTGGAAAACTATTCACTGAATTGATATTGATAGGCAAACACAGTTGTAATGTTGCGTAAATACATGTGAGTTTACTATGGAAGATATTAAAATTCATTTCTGAATCTGTCGGTAACGTCGCGAGTGACACGAAAATGGTAATGGGGTATCGAGACCCCATAAAAATAGGCCGAAAAAATACATTGGATGAAGGATCTACTTCTATACCACATCTGTAACGATACTCTAGAATCTTTGATGAATCGGTGAGAATCAAAACTAACCTAGCGAAGAAGCTCTATATTTATGATGACCTATACAAAGCGGATCGCAGCCAATTTGCTAATATTGTTCAGTTTTTAATTAATAATTGCATTACCCAGCTAAGAGTGATACGATTATTAATTAAACGCTAAATAATACCCAGGTCTCACCACGTGGAGGTTGCTGCGAATGGAAACCGCCCTAACCGATTCCCAACCACCCTCCATTACTAAAGATCTTTTGTGACCAGCGATCGTTGGTCGAAGAAGCAACAAACGAAAGTGCAACCAACGAAAGAGTTTTTTGAGAAAGAATTTGCCTCTAAATTCTCATCAACAAAACAGAGAAATAGATCAAAATATTGCCTGCCTGATGTAATGATTAATATAGAGAACCAAACTCCTGCCTAACTATAAATCTAAATTCACTTATTAATTAATTAATAATTAATTATAAATCCTACCTATCTAATCATCTAACAAAATACATAGAAAATATATTCTTCTTTCTTCTATCTTCTATTTATCCCACGATGATTTCCTGAAACACAAACAATCAAACGGAATGGAAGAATCAACAAAGTACCTCCGTAGAATATTACGAGAATTCGAGCAAGAAAACAATATTACATTATTATATCCTGCAATATTATACATATCGAAGCTTGAATTCACATCGAACGAACAAATAAAAATAATAAAATATAAATAAGTGGAGTGGACTTACTACTTGTTGTCAGTACATAGGGTAGTTACCACTGGGCCAGCTGTAAAGTAAGAAAATATTCATGTTATAGCAACGTCAGTTAGACAAGGGAGGCAAAATCAGTTCGTTGAAGCGAAATTGGTATCAAACGATAGAATAAAAGAGGGGAGAGAATTTTTAAACAGTTCTTACCGTTGGTCATCACCGTCCGGCACTGGTCAACAGTGGTCAGTAGTGGTCAGTAGTGGTAGGGCGCGAGTCAGCACTGGTCAGTAGTGGCCAGCAGTGGCCAAAAGAGGTCAACAGCGGTCCCCAGTTTGTGGCGGCTAACGTCACAGGCGTAACAAGCGCCATCTAGTTAAGTTCCTAGTCTAGTTAGTTTTAGTTAGTTTAAGTAAAACCAAAGTCACTAGTTTGTAGTATTAGATTTAAGTTGGCCCACCCCTTGGTACATGGCCCAAGGGATGAAAAGTCCCCAGTTCTGTTCGACGCTCTCGAGAAGACAGAAGCATAGAAAACCGAAGCGTGTATTAAAATAAAGTCTTTGTTAACGCAACCGCATTAAGTTTATATTAGAAGACTCTCCCAGCAAATACCTATCCACCACAAGTTCTCTTCTGGCCACTTGTACACTCCCGAATTCGCGACGAGACTGAAGAATTCTTCGCGGTGACCCTGCTTAATACATCTAAGGTGATGAAAGGGTGGGGAGACCAGTCAGAGCCAAAGTTGAAGTTAACAATTAAGACTCTCTCGTCTACAAAGAAACTATTTCGATTGGTCCCACCTATTGACCATTTCTGGATCTTCACTGGCCAGCTGACCTCACTGTTGACCACCAGTGACCATATTCATTGTTGATTTTCTGTAATTTATAATTTGTTATCGATATCAATGTAGGTATATAGCCTAATTGTATTACGCATTTATATGCGTTGTTAATAATCCTGTAGAGGGTTACACAGCATTCAATAAAAAAAAAAAAGTTTAGGTTCTGGTTATATCGAAACCAAAAATAACTTTATCTGGCAGAAATAGTAGTTATTTGGAACTTACGGAAATTATTAATGTAGTGTCTGAATAACCAAGTCGTGGTGAAATTAATAGTTTATTATAGGTATATGTGAATTACAAAGAAAGAATAGGCTCGCATCGTGGCGATTCCTCAACTCACTCGCCACACTCTCACTCTCTCGCTCTCCGCCGCGTGGCGCTGCGACTACCCAGGACCGTAACTAGCCGATCCACCACATTAAACGAGTCTGTTTGGCTTTCACAGGCTGAAGATTATATCGGATTGAAGGGCAGCTTTGACGATCATATCGGATTATTGGTGCATGGGGAAGACGGAGGACAGAAGATCGCGATACAACCGGACCCGAGAGGTTTACCGAGTTTACCACCCAACTTAGAAGCTCGTCTACCGCAACTCGATCAAAGCTTGAAGATTACGCACGCCGAATGGTTACCAGTCACGAAAACCAGGTGTGTTCGCCGACTAATGAGGGCTTCTTGAATATTTATTGCCCGTAATTGTTCACACTTAATTTTGATTTACCCCCTTTGATCGATATGAATCTCTTACTTATACATATAATAAAAAAAGATTCAGAAATATTTAGAATATTTTATATTCAAAAAATAATTCAGAATTATTATTATTCGGTCAGACGTTGGTAAATATTAATGAAATGAAAGGATATTATCATATAAACGTGATAAAAATACCCCCAAAAGAAATTTAATTGTATCTACATACAAGGTGTTCGATCATTCCTGGGAAAAATTTTAATAGGAGATTCTAGAGGCCAAAATAAGACGAAAATCAAGAATAGCAATTTGTTGATTGAGGCTTCGTTAACAAGTTATTAACGTTTAAAGTTCCGTTTGTAGGACGACAATCTGCGAACAGCTGCGTGCATGATATAGTAGTGTGGCGTAGCTTCCCATGCTCGCCACCAGAGGGCTCGCACTCTCCCCCTTTCCTTTTCTGTCCTACGAATTCTCACGAAATCCTACTCACAGCCAGCAACGCCCCCACAGTGGTTCTAACTGATTGTGAATATGAAATTCTCTACTGTAAGGGGAGGGGGGGGGGCCGTAGTTCGGGGGATGAAGGAGTGTGGTACCGAAGGAGACGGGGTCTCGTGGTACCAAGGTAGGATGGGTGCGAGTGTGCGGGTTTGTAGTGACTGCAGCGGCTTCTTTTTGGGAGTCGAGTCCTGAGAAGGACCGATTGTTTATTGTTCAATGCCCAGGCGTACAAGGAGTCGTCGGTGTCCGGAGTCGGAGAGCTCCTAAGGTAGACTGACCGTGAGCGAGATGCTAAGGGTAGGTGGCGACGCTCCGCGTAGGTGCCGCGTTACCGTACCTCTTAGGACCGCTTCGACGGTGTGGGGAGTCAAGGCCCCTGGCGAGTTTACCCGACGATTACTTTAGAGGGTTCCTACAGCTTGGCACACCCGCGTAGGAGCCGGCACTGTGGAGGTATCTCTGGCGTAGTCGGGAAGTGACTGACTAACATGGGCCGATGGGCCCGCTTTTATACCCGGGCGACCTGCGCTAGCGCGGGCCTGGCCGTTGTTGATTGGCCAGGACCCATCTATTTTTAGCGTTGACCTGGCTTCTTGACGAACGCTTCGCCGACGTTTTTAACGTAACTAAAACTAAGGGCGCGGTATAGCGGCTTTTCGGCGAAAGCCGCGTCGTTGTTCTTATTTCTATATTAAATTAATATCTCGTGTTACACTACTTATTAACGTATCGACAGTCTTACAGTTTCTGAGTGAGAACCACTAGCAGCTATTCGTAGATTACCTGTTCTACAGGCAGAACTTTAATTAACTAAGCTTTCGATCGATATAAGCGTTATTAAACAATAACGATTTAGTTACACATCAACAACTCAAGTTAATAAAAAATGAAATTACAATTCTACTGATTTATTCTTATACGAGGTGTCGTCGGTGAAGTTTCTATCTACTTTGGAGATATTTACAAGGAATGTTGAATTCATTCGTAATGATATTAAAATTACTGAGAATGTCTGGCACGAAATTAATAACTTGATAATATATTTTACCAAAATAGACAGAACCTTCGTGAACGTATTAGGGAATGGATATTGTGATTCTGAAGAGGGTGAATTTTTTTTATTCTCAGATTCAAGTTCTTCGTATATTCGGCGTACTTCGATGACAGGGTTGGCGGTGCAGGTTCGCCAACCGGGAAAACTCAAGGCATGGTACGCATAATAAGCGCAACGAAGACAAAAGGATCGGAACGAGTTTGGTGCAGATTTTGGTATCTACCAGAGAATGGAGGGAACGTTACTGCTTCCGTAACAGTAGCTGCTAAAGTGAAGGTACGTTAACCAAGGGAAAAAACTACTTTCGTAATGTTGCATTTAAAACGGGTGCAAAAAGGAAGTTATTTTCATCGTAATTATACCGGCGTAAAGTTGACTCCTTATTTCATTTCCAACGCTTTTAATTTTTTTTTTCTTTAACTTTAAACGTTTTCGTGCGTCGGTTGGGAGTTGGGGGGCAACATATTTCTATTTATTTTACCACTGTTGGAAAATCTGTTGGAACGTAAGGTCGAAGAGCACTCGGTCTGACTCATATCGCGTAGGCACGCGTACCAATCAATATTGCGTTACATTCCCTTACTATTGAGGCACAAGAGGCTTGGGGTTTCATATTCATGCCATTCGTGGTGTTTGGTCAAGTCGAACCCAGAGTATTTTGCACCAAAAGAGTGGAAAAAAGGCATCCAATGGCTAAAAATCCTATATCTGTTTCGTATTTTGTTATCTTATACATATGTACATGTATATGACGTCGTTGAGGAATGCAGTGTCGCCACATATGAGAACGATCCAAGTGGGACTTCCCCGCGCGACAACTAGAACGTTCGCTGGTACTCAATGGTGTTACATGCCTGGTTTTAAATTAAATTTAGTAAAATTAATTTCTTCTAAAATTTAGTAAAGTTTTTAAAATTAAATTTAGTAACTACCAGACCTGATTTTTCACCCTGGAACGAGGCACTGCTATAATTAGAAAAGTCAGTTTCACATAAATAAGTCGTAGCAAAATAATCGTGCGTGTAGGTACTCTTTTATTAAATCTCGCCAATAATTATTCAGCGAAAGATTTTGAAAAATGGTCGTTCTATAGTAGTTGCACAACTCAACCCAGACCTAACCCAACGACGTAATAGCAAAGTGGTAATAAATTTGTGTTCCCTTATTAGTTCGTACGATAGATTTCTTCTGTATCGATACGAGTACCTACGTTGCGCTTTCAAGTGAAACTAATAGTTACGACAATGATATTTCAATAGGTAATCAGAGAGAACTGGAGCCTGAAGTACAGTGCCTGCTTTGTAATTTGCCCATTGCCCAAGGAATCGCCCACGAGCAACAGAGTCCCGGAAACGGTGAGCGTCGTGGCCAGGCTCAAAGCAACCCCGACGAATCGGATTCTCGTTCAGAACAGACCGGAGAGTAGGTCGAAAGAGAAGGAATTGTTGGCCGTTTGCGTGAAACCTCTGCATTACAACTATAATAGAGTACGTTACAAAAGATTAGAGATTTGAATGAAAACAACACGTCATACGTTGAATCCAGCGGGAATTTTGAATAATTCGAGATAAATACCGTCGTGCTATGATTTTTTTCATTTTCTCAACGGGTTGTCTCGTTTATTTCGCCGTGTGATATAATTACTTTCGATAAGAAAGCGAGGATTGAGCACTGACGGTGTCGAGTCACGTTACCTCTGGGTCGAATCGATAGTAATACGGGGACGAATGGACTAAAGATACGCGCGTCCCGCTGTTCAAGTGTCCCGTGTGCTAACCTATGAAAATGTTATAGGTGCTGCAACTCGTCGAGTTTATCGAGTTGCACAGACTACTTGGCGCCACCCATGTGACTCTGTACAATGACACGGTTGGTGCTGAGGCAGGATGCGCTCTCAAGTACTACGAAGCTAAAGGTCTCGTTACCGTGTTACCTTGGCATCATTTGGACATTATTTCTCAACGAGATATTCGTACGGAAGGATTGTTTGCCGCCCTGAACGATTGCCTTTATCGATCTATGTACAAATACGAGTACGTGGCGTTGATTGACCTCGATGAGTTTATTATACCGACGCACAATGACACGATAATCGATCTCATAAGGTGAGAGTTTGTTAACATCCACTGACTAGCTAACACGTAACGTTCATATGCTCGACTCACTTCCACTTTTTTAACAAGTAATATTCAAACTAAAACTTTGCAAAGTTTTCTTTGCTAGCAGTGCTAATAGTAGAGAACATTTATGGCTCGAGGGCTGCAACTCTAACAACAAAATAATGGCGATATTAAATTAAAGTTTTTATATTATTTTTTTTATTTTATAATTATGTCGCCTCTGTTCGATAGTCGTCCCAGTAGATTTAGACTATCCAACCCTATAAACATCGTTTGGCTTTTGTTCGTTCATAACGAGCACTTGACAAAAAGATATTCCTGTGTAGTACGCATCAACATATCACTACTCTTACCACCATGGCCATATTTTAGAGGTCTCCAAGTATTTGAAAATATAAGTCGAGTCAAACTTGGCATCTATTTTTAAATCAAATCAAGTATTTGATTGTTTAAGCATACTTGATTACTCAAACAAACTTGATTATGTATTTTTACTTAATTATAATATTATATTTAACTAATAAAGTTTGCTTGGTTTTAAATAATAAAGTTTGGTTAAGAATACTCATGATAATTCTAGAAATTAATTAAAATATCTCTTCATTTGAATAACTTGGGATAGTTTGATATTAGTAAAAGTTCCCTAGCAAGTTAATAAAAATTAAAGAATGATTTGAAATCTTAATACAATAATATATGTATAATTCTTATAATTAACATACAAGGTTTTAACTTATTAAATTATAGTAATTATCAAATTTTGTATAAACAATCAAGCTGTTCAAACATTTGAACAGATTGAATTTTCTCAAGTTTGATCAAATATTCAAGCTAATTAAATAATCAAATACTTGATTTGGTTTTGTTTTGATTCGAATTTCAAGTACTTGAATATTTCAACTCTACTGCATGCATTGCAAACTATGATCTATGTATACAGGGATCGAGTGGAGAAGAAATACAGTGGGAAGTGGGAATAAACGTCATTTATTTTTAACAGTTTCAGCTGATAGCTTTGCAGCCCAAGATACTTGTTGCTAACGCAAATTAGTGAGATTAAAGTCCTTGTAGCTGTTATTGTTATTGTCATCGGGTTAACATGCGATTTGGTCTAATTTAAAAATGAATAATGAAAAGAATTCTGTGAAATATTTGCAGAGTATAAAATTCTCAAGTCCACAATCGAAGGAAAGAATTGAAATAAAAATTCTGGGGCGTCTTACGCTTGAATTAAATATATCTCTATTGTCAGAGCGCGGTGTATCTGATAATAGAGAATTGAATTGTATCATCTTCGTACACAGTACATTTCTTTCTGCATGTTTTAGTTGCATTCTTTCCCTTTTTAAATTAATAAAGCATGATCCATCAAAGCAACTCGTCCATTTTTCTAAAAATGTGTACGATGCAAATCAAAATAACTGTTGAAATATTGTGGTAAAAAGTAAGGTTAAGTGTTTGCTGTCAATTGACTTCGTACACTCAAGAAACTAAAGTTAGTCGTTACTTTTTGGCTGACCTAATACTTATGCTATCAGAAAAGAGCGTCATTTACTCACGAGCTAAGCCTTGCCTACACATTTACTAGTCGCTGTAACTACACAAACGTTGTACGTTCATCGTGTTGAGGTTACTTAATATTTTTTAGGTGGATGAACAGTCGTATAAACACCAAGTCCACCGGAGCGTATTCCTTTCAAAACGCTTTCTTTTACTTGCAATGGGCCGACGATCCGTTTATAGTAACGAGTCGAACGCCCATCGAGGCTGGTTTAATTACATTAAGGAAAACGAGGCGCCGAGCGAAGCTGCACCCGCATAAACAGCGGTCAAAGTATGTTTGCAAGCCGCAAAACATCGTCGAAGCCGGTAACCACTTTGTTTGGGAATTCATTCCCGGATATAGTACACTGAACGTATTGTCGGAGGCAGCAATTTTACATCACTATCGTGTTTGCGAGTTCGGCGGCGACGACTGTATAAAGACGCAATCGGTTGTCGATAGAACGGCCTACAAATACAAGGACAGATTGTCGGGCAGTGTTAGCAAAACCTGGGCGGACCTAAACACCGAATGTCTGTTACCAAAACTGGAACCAATACCAGCGATGACGCCGCGGATAAAAACAGGTCCTGTGTTAAAGTCGGTCAGGTAGCAGAAGACCATCGGCGACGTTTTATGGGATATTGGTAATTTCACTGGTACGCCCAAGGTAGCGAGAACCTATTTCTATAACTACGGTGGCCCTTAATTTCTCACTGGGAAATTCCGCCATGTTCAGATTTAATGGGATGGGTTGGTAGGGGTGGGGATGCCATAACGTTTTTTCTACCATTTGCGGTCCACACCTCATAAATCTCGTTTTCGTAAACGGAGAACGGTGCCTGTCAACTAGCCAATCCGGAGTGCTGCCGTTGACAAAGGTACGACGCTCATCGAAAAGCTGATGAATAATATTTTTCTACGTGAGAAGGACTCATGACCGACCAGGAAAGTAAGGGACGATTTTCCCGGTCGATCCTGCAACTCTTACGCTATGGTGCTTCTTTCACGATTTTATACGTGTATTTACTTAAAGATTTGTTTCCGTTCGAACGAAGCCGATCTACGTGAAACTGATCAGGTCGTGGATGTTATTAAGAAAGGCCTACACTTCGGTCTACATTGCCGGCTATAACGTGAGATTTGATATTAAAACTGTTGTATTGTTGGTACATTCTTTTCAACACACTTATAAAATCCGCACAACGTATAAATAAAACATACGCATATCCATAGGATCAATACCTAGTCGTAGTTTATGTATGTATAATATGTATCTAGAACATCTAGTATTTAATCTATAGCAAACGAGTAGAATGCGTAATGTTTTTTCAAACGCTATTTACATCTAGCAATTTCTATCCGATGAATTTATTACGCTGTGAAGAACCTCTTAGTTTAGGAGAAATCTTGCTTATTTTTAACTTTAATTATTGTTAATTACGATTTTATTCGTTACTTACCAGTCTTGCGATATACTTTTCATTACCTCGGTGAAAGTAATTTACGATAATGTTGTTATATAAAGGTAGTCGCATTACAAACGATTTGTAATTGTTAATTATGCTCACGATGACGAAAAGAGGTTAGTACTGTGTCAGCTAAGTAGATGTTACAAATTCGAGCGTTATGACAATGAAGACGGCGAACTGTTTCTATTTCTTTCATAAGGTCACATTTTTTACGCGCACATACATTTATTATGTATATATGTGTATACACAAATGTGTACGTATATTTACGTACATGTAGGATAGGTGATTGCATACACGTGATCGGTGCTGAGCCAACAATCAACATGCCGTTTGGTCGTGTTGAAAAAGTTAATAAATATTGTACGACGACAATATGTATTTTAATTCCCTTGAAAATATATTTCGTAATGTAAGTCCGGAGCACGTGTAAAATTGTACGAATAATTGAATTTTAAATTATTTAACGAAACTATATACACATGGCGTTTCGCTTATTTTTATTTCTTGTAATATCTCCGGAAGCTTCTAATGAAACGAAAAACTGTATAAGGAAAAACTCATTTGTATCAGAAACATAAATATTATAATTATCAACACTCGACATATTTTCTTCAAAATTTTAGTGTTATCGAAATTTTTCTACGTGGACTGATAACATTTTCATTATCGTAGAAATATAGTGTCAAAATACAAGATAAAATTGTTGGATTTGTTTGGTTTAAAATGATCAAAATGTTAACAATCATATTTATCTTTTTGAGACAAATTTTTTCTTAGCTTTCGTATGATTAGAAGTAATAGATTTCCAGGAGAGTAAGATAAGCGAAATACCTTGTAATGCTCAAATATTTTTTACTACTGTCAAAATTTACAGGGAGTCAAGATGGAGTAAGAACGTATTACTTTTTATTAATATTACAGTTATTGTAGAAATATGCGTATACAAATTGATAATTACACGAACGGTATATTTTGAAGCTTTTGTAATTGTTTTTATAATAGTTAAAAATCCTCATCTGAATGATCTAGCTTACTAACAGCTCGTTTTTCTTGTCCAACCTTTAAATCAAAATTCCCAATTTCTGTTCCTCCCACAGAATCTAAAATGTCGTCATCGTCATCGTCATCATCGAGATCACCGTCGATCAATAAATCACTATCACTGTCTACAGAGCCAGCACTGTCATTTGATTCTTGGATTGTTCCTCTCTGGCGTCCAGACATGCTGCCGTAAATTCGACGCTGTGATATTTGCATTCTCGATGCACGGCCAGCTGTTTTTACATAGAAATAAGTATAGAAAACAGTTTTTATATTTATCATTAAAGTTTATTTGAAATAATAGACTGTTTTAAAATATTTAAAGCCTAAGTTGCAATATTCTTTACCTGATTTTAATCGACTGCTTTGAGTTCTTTTTTCAGGGTTTTGTTTCTCTATATCACTGAGTGGAGGTGGAGGTTCTTGAAGATTTGTAGGTAATATGGAATCATTTCCTTCCATCATGGTTTCAAAATTGGCATCCTCTGCTCTCATCTTTTCCAATTGCTTTCGCGTTGCTTCTTGTCTGTTATTAATTAAACCTATTCTTAGTTAATTATAATATTAACCCCCCTTGGAAATCATAACCAACTGCTTGATTTTCAATTTCAATACCATAATAAAATCGCCATTAATTTCGAATTCACTTTCGAAAAGTTCTTTGTTAGTTACAATTTTACTTACCAATGGCATAACTGTTAACAATAAAACTAAACTAAACATTGGTACGAGAAAATGAATTCGAACCGTCCGCATTTGGTTTTTACATAAAACCCTTTCGTAACTTCAAATAAATAGGGCTCTTCTGAACTGATGCTAGAGTCCATAGCGACATCAGAAACATTAGAAAGTGAATAAGACTGAAGAAAGACTGAGTTTATGGTTTTATATTTATATAAGTAAAACAAAAAGTACACGTACAAACTAGAAGAAATTAACATAGAAAATGCTAAAATATCATAACGATATAATGTTTAAAAAATTCATAGATTCAGATCAGTTCTGGTTGAAGGGATTATTCAAAGTTATTACCGTATGTCATTACCGAGTCATGTTATAATTAGTATATATACATACCGTCTTTCAAATCTTTCTTGCTCAGCTTTAGCTGTATCCTCGTATAAGTGTTCAAGGTACGCAAGGTACCGAAATTTTTGTAAATAATCGTCATATAAAGATCTCAATTCAACTTCAAGTTTTTCAAACTCTTCCATAAAAGCTGGCCGTACTTTTTTCAACGTTTGTAGCCGCTTTTGATTTCTATCTAGCTCTGCGCGTCGCCTTTCAATTCTTACATCCAAATTTTGTTCTGTATCCTTATGAACGACAATAAAATTTTAAAAAAATCTTTAAAGAAATCTTAAAAAAAAATCGTTTCTTGAGTTTTGATTTACTGAAAATTTTATTGTAATCTAAAGAACGCCATCTTTGTTAATTCCTAACTGAGCATGACTCCTTAAGAATAAAATAAAAATAAGTAATACCTTAACATTATCAATCTGTCTTTTGGTGTCGTCAATTTCCTTGCGTACGCTTTCAATAACATTTTTCAACACCATTTCAATTTCTGACGTATCGAACTGTCTGGCAACCTTTGAATTACGAATCTCTCGAAGATCTACTTCTCGTCCTAATAAGTCAAACAATGATGCACCAGTGACAGTCAACTGACTGGCCAATTGTCTAGTTGATTTCAGTTCATTAACTTTATCAGAAATATCAAAATTAGGTAAATTGAAGTCATCATCGGAGATTGCATCATTGTTGTTACTGTTGATTTGAGCATCGTACAATAATGTTGTTATTTTTAATAATTCTTTTACAGCATAGCCATCAGCTTGGTATAATTTTTTTGTATTTAACTTAATATTCGTTTTTAATGCCTACATCAAAAGTAATTAATAATATATCAATTTCTAATATAAAGATTATAAAAATATATATTTTTTTATAATTACTAATTAACAATTTACACTAACGATGGATAATATAACAGTTAATTGACTCGTAAATATTACCATAAAGCATTTAACTGAACATTACAATTACTGGATATAAATCTGATCGAATATCTTCTGGATTTATTTTGAAAGATTAATAACTGATTTTAGTATGGGAAATAAGTGTCAGAAATTCTGTCTGCTTCTTTCAAGACTAATTACCTTTACCTTTAAAAGTAAAAGTATAATTGTATTTACAGTTCTATTGGTTCACTTTGATCTAATTTTCTTAATTTTAGTGGAACCAATAAAATTATATTCAGTGAATCCAAAAGTGGCATGATTGTGTCCTAATTCTTGTATTTCTACATGTATAAATTAAAAGTAGATAGACAGTATTTTCATGAAGTAGTTGAAGGATGTTTCTTTAACTATAATGCATTTTTGTAATAAAAATTGTATCAGACAAAGATTATGTATATATTGATATACCATTTTTCTTGTCAAATACATTGTAGGGAGAAAAAATGATTAGTTCTGAGGGAAACTGTGAGTTGTACTGAGTCATAGGTTTTAGTTAGTTTTTAACCAAGCAAAAAAATACTTGGAAATGTTAACATTTGACTGATCTTTTTCTCTTCCTATAATACACTGTATTCATGCAAATTAATTTGCGCTAATTAAAACATAAATTGGAGACTAAGTGTAATAAAAATAAATGAAAACATTTTTATAATTAGAATAAATCTGTAAATTACTGTCAACTATACAGTTAAATTGTTTCGAAATAGCGCTTAAGAAGAAATGAAATTTTTTTAGTTTTAAACAAAACTTTCAAGAATTATGTTAACATCGATGAACTACTTACCATGAATTCGGCAACAGCACGAATTAATGCAATACGTTCTTCTTCGGTATTATGCTCACTAGGTATATCAACATCAGAATCAAATCTCTCCACCAGCCAAACGAGAATTTCCGCAACCAATGGGAAATTTGGTAAACGAAAATTTCCAATAGAGATTAATCTCGGATACCCGAGCAGTCGCATCATTTCTGTAAAATCTGCGGACATTTATAATTACTATCAATGTATCATGAAATTTATTACATTTATCGTTCAAATATTAGTTTACCTACTTCTTAAGTCACGAAATGACATTTTCGTACAAAAAAGAATTATCAGTGAACCACAGTACTCGTTGTGTTTTTACTTGCGCGCAATGCGTTGCTAAGGAAACACGTTGCACCACGTAATTGTAATAGTATTTCTGTTTTGAATCATAAGAACACACGATGACCTTACAAAAATGAAGGTAAGTGAATTTTCCGTCAAAAATTGCCCATTATTAAATTTATTTTCTTTGAAAAGTGAATTTTCTTATTACATTGTATAAAATCGTATTTGTAATTATACGGATACTTATTTGAGAAATCAATATTAACTATTTATAGTTGATCGATGAATAAGATAATTAGGGGTTTGCTGATATTTTGGATTCGGGTTGGGGCTCAAAAGTTTATGATATTTATTATATAAATCCTACGACTACGTATTTTATATTACACTTTATTTATTTAAGCAGTAAATTATTCTATCTGGAACATATATAATTACAACTGTACAAAGAAAATTAAAAGTCTACAGGAGAGTTTCTCGCATTCTTAATTTCAGAATGCATTCGTTTTTTAAAAACTCTTTCTCTTGCTGCTTTAAGCTTTTGTTTCCGTTTCATTTCTAAAGTCTCGGGAGATACCTCTGGCGGTGGTTTTGTTGTATTTCTTATCATTGTCCTTAATTTCTCTAGAGCGTCAGCTAGATTTAATTGTTGCGATCTTGTTAATTCTGATTTTATTACTAAGTAGCCTTCTCTAGTTAGCTTGCTTTTCAACTGTAATAAATATTACATTAATACAAAATAATCTTGTTTCTCAAATAATTTTTTTCTGAGCATAAATTACAAACTTCTTCGGCCAATTTTTCTTTAATTTCTTCTGATAACCATTTAGCGCTTTTTAAATGAAACCTTATATCTACTTTAGTATTGGTACGATTCACGTGTTGGCCTCCAGGACCACTACTACGGGAATATGTTATATCAATTTGTTCTAACGGTATATAACCATTAAATTTCGCATTTGGGTCTTCAGGAACCTTAAAAGATTTTAAAGATATTAGCATAGTAGATACTTAATTTTGTTCGATCTTACAATATTAAATTATGTTTATAAAAAATAATGAAAATTGGCAAGGTAAGTTCAATTACAAAATTCAGCGAGAAAAGTAAATATCAATAAAGGCGCGAATTAATTAAGATAAATTAATAATACACTATAACGTAGAAAAATTTCTGTCTTAGATTACACATTAGAAATGTAACAAACTTACAAAGGTTGGTGTATAAAGTTTGAGGTTACTTGTCGGATACAATTTATCAAGCGAGATAGCACTTTTATAAGCTAGAGCTCTTCCAAAAATGAAACATTGATTCTGTTGCGTTAAATCGTTTCTAAAAATTCTAATGCATTGTCTACTAACGATATTCATTTTGTTTATTCTTTAAGTCACAAAGAATAAACAATATCGTTTATTTCGATACCTACTGCCACCTACTGCACAGTTGGGTAAGTTGGGTTGGAGCAGAGATGCCAGAAAAGCACCCCCGGGCAGTGTGGCCAGATCGGGCATAATTGAGTGCATCGAAATCGACAACAGTGACGACCAGTGTGGCCAGATCGGGCATAATTGAGTGCATCGAAATCGACAACAGTGACGACGAACTTCCTTAGCGTCTAACGGAATGGTGGGGATAGCAGGCATACACTACCGCACGAGCCACGTGTACGTGAGCTCGGCACTTCGCACAACTTCGGCAAATCGATAAAGAACGCTAGTGTGAGCCTTTCCTTCTTGCTCTTGTAAAAGACAAAACAACTGAAATACGACCTCGCGATAAGCGGCATACGATTCCAAGCCTCGACTGCCCCAGCATTTTTACTTTCCGACCTATATGTAAGGTATAAGGAAATTTATAATGAAAAAAAATTTTGAAGTTTTTTTTTAGCGGAAATACACGTTTTAGGACCCCCTGATCATATTGTGACTATTGAAAAAAAAGACATTTTTTTTGTTCCTCAACGACTAACAATAAGTGAATTGCAATAACGAAAAAAAAATTTCGAAATTTTTTTTTAGCGGAAATACACGTTTTGGGACCCCCTGATCATATTGTGACTATTGAAAAAAACGATATTTTTTTTTGTTCCTATGCTATTAACATGAATGCATTAAACGACTAAGTGAATTTCAATAACGAAAAAAATATTTCGAAATTTTTTTTAGCGGAAATACACGTTTTAGAACCCCCTCATCATATTGTGACTACTACAAAAGAACATATATTTTTTTTGTTCCTATGCTATTGACATGATTGTGTCTAAACGGCTGAATGAATTTCAATGAAACTTAACATTTAAGTTTTATGTTCTCGTTTTAAGGTCTCATTATATTTTAAGCGTGATCAGCTCCCATATAATGATGATTATACGTTTTTAGTTTTATAATTATTTCGATACATACACATCATTTGTAAGAAATTTTTAAAGCGATTTATATAAATCTTAAGAAGGATTAAGATCAAATATATTTTTCTCCTATCTTTCCTAGACAGGAAAAATTAAACGAAATCTTATGCCTTGCATACCTACCTAAACCACATAAAAAACGTATTCCACAAATATTTTAGAATAATGTTGTTCAAAGCAGTCTTACTCGTAAAGGGTTAATTAAGGGTTAATTAAAATGAAAAACCACTCTTAGCCAGTACCGTGCACGCTACAGAAATAGATTACTACTGACTTTTCCCACTATGTTTTTTAATAACCGTATCAAATTGTTACACACAATCAAATGTTATATATTTGACTTAACTTTACATAACAAAATAATTGTAACGATAGGTAAAACAATAACGTGCACGCTACCGTTCAATGGAAACCACGGGAAGGTGGTGGTCACTTCCATCAGGAGGGAAATGTAAAAAATTGTTATTTCTTTGTAACATTATCACATGCCGTATATTAAAATGTTTTTATTAATGTAATGAAATTACAATATAATGAAAAACTAACTCGTGAATGCATTAATTTTTATTAATATACACACGAGCCATAAAAATGGAAAAATGATATAATTGTTTACATTTCCAAAGGATGGGATGTCGGGATAGGACGTTTGCGATTAAGCTGGCACGTTATGTCGTGCATTGTTGCTCTTACGGTACCGTGACGTAAGTGTAACAAGGCGCGACATTCTACGTCATAGCCACACTATCTACAGCAAGCAATTTCACTAACTAAAAATATACGGCAAAATATAAGCAAATAAATGAAGAAAAAAAATGATAGTTAGAGCAAGCAGAATAGTATTTACAGCAAGCGGAATACGTAAAAAAAGTAACAACGCGAGACAAATTGAACGACTATTTACATATTAGCGATGTCCAAAAAAAAATATTTTGGACATCACTAACAAGACTGCGGTTGCAGTGTAAGCGCTTTCGCGTGACGTTATGGCACATACATGCATCACACCTTGTTGCGCCTACGTCACGGTACCGTTGACGTAACAAGACCAGTCTACCGCGACGTCGCATGAAAACATTTATACTGTCATTGCAGCCTAATAGTACGAATTTACTAAAGAGCTTTTCTCTGGAGAGAAAAATCTCTCTAGAGAAAAGCTCTGTAGTAAATCGGTACCTTAATTTTCGTCATATGACGTAGCGGGAAAATTCTCAAAGTTATTGTCATATGTTGCGTTTAATCTTAAATTACACTTTTGCTTCTTAGCAAATCTATGATATAAATGTTTGGAATACAATAGAGCTAGATGATCGTCATCTACCTCCATGGGTTGAGAGTTTTCCCTCTGCGCCTTTAACACTAGATTTACGGAAGCCGTCGATTTGACGGATGTCAGATTCCATATTTAAAATCGTAGAACTCGTAAATATTATTTCTTAACAACTTGTGTTGAATTTGTTTGGTGTAATGGCATGAATACATATTCTAATTAAAATAAAAATCGTATTTTAAGGTAATCGTCAACATGAAAGGTACGAATAAATATATGTGCGATCAATGCCCGTAAATCTAGTGTTAACGAAGATTTCACAACGCAAATAGAGTTGACGCTGGCCGAAGAAAGTTTATTCCGTTTCTTTGTTTTTATGTCAGGTAACATAGAAAACAATCTTTCTGCATCGGCATTGGAATTTGGAAGTGATCTTATATGATACTAGCATGCCCCGTCACGGCTTCGCCCGACCTTGTGCAAAATCAATTTATGACCAGACGATCGTCCTGACATATATATCCGCGATAATGCAATTCTCTCGCGAGAAAGCGCTCGAGAAGCTTCGCCACCTGGCGGTAACATCGCAGTACTGCTACGGGCGAGGTATCGCGCGGGCCATTATACAGGGTGTTCGGCCACCTCTAGCAAAAATTTTAATGAGCGATAGTAGAGACCAAAATAAGACGAAAATCAAGAATACCAATTTGTTGATGGAAGCTTCGTTAAAAAGTTATTAACGTTTAAAGTGCCGCCATTACTGAATTTTTTTCTCGAAAATGCGCAAGATTTCGGGGGTATGTCTATTCACAAAAAATGACTGTAATTGAACCCTACAACGGAAAATAATTTTTCCACAACGATTTGCAATTTTTTAATTTTCTCGAATAATTTCACACCTTCTCTATTTTTTTTCTCGAAAGTGGACAGGATTTCGTGGGTATGTCTGATGACAAAAACTGATTGTAATTGACCTCCGCACCCGAAAATAATTTTTCCACAACGATTTGCAATTTTTTTTCTCCGTTGAAAAATTTAGCCACCTAATTGGATTTTCAGTAAGGAATTTTTTTCTCGAAAGTGCGTACGATTTTGGAGGTATGTGTAATGATAAAAAATGATTGTAATTGATCCCCGCAACCGAAAATAATTTTTTTAGAACGATTTGAAAAATTTTTTTTCGCCGAAAAATTTCAGCACCTACTCGATTTTTTTTCTCGAAAGTAGATAGGATTTCGGAGGTATGTGTACTCACCAAAAATGATTGCAGTTGACCCCCGCAACCGAAAATAATTTTTCCAGAACGATTTGAAATTTTTGAATTTAATTGTTAATAACTTTTTAACGAAGCTTCCATCAACAAATTAGTATTCTTGATTTTCGTCTTATTTTGGTATCTACTATCGCTCATTAAAATTTTTGCTAGAGGTGGCCGAACACCCTGTATATAGGGAAAACACACCATCATAAAAGTGCGCGTATAACGCATATTCGTAGAAATTTTTCGATGTTTTTTTTTTTATAAACCATCAGTGAAAGTAGACCTTTCCAACGCATGTACTCGTTTGAAAATCGGTTGAGTGGTTCTCGATCTCGAGTTATTAAAATCACGAACATAGGACAACTTATTTTTATATATATAGATTATATAATAGTAAGATTATATGAAAATGTCTAATTGTATCAAGCGGTGTAATTAAATTTTTTAATAAGATTCATAATACAATTATTTATTTTTTTGTAGGCTACAATGTAACTATATTAGCTTATGGTCAAACAGGAAGTGGTAAAACCCATTCAATGGGCACCAATTATGACGAAACAGAAGATATGGGTGTTATACCACGAGCAATACACGATATATTTGATATAATTTCAATGAAAGAAAACTGGAGTTTCAGAGTTACGGTTTCATTTATGGAGCTATATCAAGAACAATTGTACGATCTTTTAACTGACAAAGAACGTAGTCAGTCTATTGTTGATATTAGAGATGATGGAAAACATATAAAAGTTGCTGGAATTGTAGAGAAGGAAGTGATGAATGGAAAAGAAACATTACAATGCTTAGTACGAGGATCTCTAGGCCGTGCAACTGGTGCTACAGCAATGAATGCTCGGAGTAGTCGTAGTCATGCAATATTTACGTTGTGTATACATCAATGCAAAAAAGATGATCCGTGAGTTATTTATTCAATGACTGCAAAGTAATATTAAAATTATTGTTATATATTTATGAAATACTTTAAAGATATATTTTTCCTCTTCAATATATGTCAGTAATACAGCAACAACTGCAAAGTTCCATCTAGTAGATTTAGCTGGGTCTGAACGCAGTAAAAAAACACAAGCAACCGGTGAAAGATTTAAGGAAGGTGTAAATATAAATAAAGGACTGTTAGCATTAGGAAACGTTATATCTCAATTAGGCGATGCTAGCCCTACATCTTACATTGGTTATCGAGATAGCAAACTTACACGATTATTACAAGATTCTCTTGGAGGCAATTCCATGACACTTATGATAGCATGTGTCAGTCCAGCAGGTGTTTATGAAAACGAAGTATAAATATTACTACTTTTAATAATAGTTTTTAAAATAACTCATGCTATTTATGAAATGTTTGCAGATTATAATTTAGACGAAACTCTAAGTACACTGCGTTACGCGGATAGAGCACGGAAAATAAAAAATAAACCTGTGATAAATCAAGATCCACAAGTTTTAGAAATCAATAGGTTGAATAAAGTGGTGCAAGAATTGAAACTTGCTTTGGTAGGTCAAGAAATCGGAATGTCTTGTCCGCTTGAGCATAAACAGCTTGAAGAAAATAATAAGTGTTTGCGACAAAAGATAAGAGATTTAACAGAAAAGCTACATGCAAATTTGATAGAAGTCGTAGTTATGCACGAAAGAGCCGAACTAGCGGAACAAGCTAGAGAAAAAATTCAGACGGATATGCTGAAAATATTAGAAAATTGTAAAGAACTTTTAGATAATTTTGATAAAAATCCTGATACACATACTGAACACCGTACAAAATTAGAAGCTATATATGTACAAATTCTTGGTAAGTAACGTAACTCGGCGGTATAGCTTAAAATAAAATTTGTCCAAATATATATTTATTTTCTAATAGATATACAGAAAGATCAGGAAAAAACATCGGAGGAGTTCATAAATTGTGGAATATCTGTTACTTCAAAAAACATTTACAATGGACAGTGATGAGGACTCGAAACATACATCTGTAAATGACACAAGTTCTGAAAATCCAGACAGTTTAGACGATTTCGATAAAAAAACAAGAAGAGCATACTTTGCTTCAAGTCAAAAGGAATAATGAAGTACAAGACATAAATAAGGAACTGGCTATTAAGGAAAGTCTTATGTGCCAGGTATTGAAAATACGTGTCCTATGTCAGATGACAGTATTATCGATGATCCTGATAAAGATCCAGATTGGGTACACACACCATTTTATAATCGCATTCAAAAACTTCAGGTAATTAATAAGAAATAAATAAACATTAGCAGATACGATTGTTGCATTATAAAGAACAGACAGCACGATCTTGAGATTATTTATTTCTAGAACACAACCAAAAACACTTCGCCTGATCACACGATACGAAAACGATCGGTGGAGGGGGATATAAAATGTGGTTGTAAAACAAAATGTTCTACACGTATTTGCTTATGTTTTAAGAATAAAATTGCTTGTTCCAACTGTAGTTGTAATCCAGAAAATTGTCAAAACAAAGATAATACTAATGTAAGTTGATAATCAACATCAATAGTAAATTTTTAATATTAGCACTATCTTTGATCAAATATTCTTTCAGATTAATCGTACTTTGCTCTTACAGTATAATGAAGACAAAGAAATCAATGAACCAATAAAAAAACAAAGGTATATTTAAACAATACTTTTATAGTCTCTTGTATCAAAGCTTTTAAAGTTTTAATTTCTTTTTTCAAATAGACTGGTGGAGTACAGTACGGAAGCACAAATTTAATTATAAATAGTTCATTTTTTATATAAAAATAATGTTATTTCAAGCGATATTGTAATGTAACTCATTTTACGTTACTTCATTTTAATGTAAACTGTGCTAGATTATCAACATATTGTTGCTATTAATTGTATATAAAATGGACAACTGTTATTTAATTACATATTTCGTAAGTACTCAAAGTAATAGTAATTTCATTTAGAAATTTAATCACTTCATGCTGTTTTAGGTTAAGTTCGTTTTATTTATTTTTCAGAACCGATTACATACAAAATTGAAAAACCGATTTTTTCGGCGTTTTTCGCGTGAAAAAGCAACTTATACTTTGAATTTTTGTATTCCCTTTAATAGATAACTATATTCTGTGGTTTTAAACATTTCCATGTTGAGTAAAACAGTGTATACAAGAAGAAAAGCAAAAATAAGTCAAGAAAAAAAACGTGCTATGCGCGTTGTATTCAGAAGTATCAGCATTATTTCCAAGAGCTGGGATGGTGCAGTGAGTAAGATGCTTGGCTGCGAGACTGCTGCAAACTTTTTGACGCGCGTTCGCGCCCTGCTACGGTACATTTTTTTTTTTTTTCAATTTCTAACTAAACGACAATGAAAAACTATTAGTTTATTAATATTTAAAAAATATTTTTACCTAAAATATACGCAAAAACAATTATGGAGCAGTTTCTATTCCATCATTTCTCTAGTCGTATATTTGCTTAAATATCCTACTGTTTCATTTTTTCTACGTTAAATGAATATACGTACTTAGTTTTAAAATCGCATACCTTTAATAACTTTGAATAGTGGAAGAAGATTTCTTCGACTAACATGGTAGTGGTTCTGGTAGCGGAGACGACGGAAATTGGAGTCAACCGGGCAGTAGAGAACATTTGCAACCTGTAAGAGAAATAGTAAAAAATATTAAAAATTATTTAAAGTTCATATCTAAACTTTGTACCATTAACAGATTCCAAGTGGAAGTCCAACACTTGTACCATGTACTCAGTCATTAAACGTAGGGGTCAGTAGTGGAAGTGGAGATACGAATGGCAATAATAGTGGAAGCGGAAGTGGAGGCTGTGATAGAAGAAGACGAAGTGGTCTTACTGCCGTCATGCAAAGACCAGGTACTATTATATCTTTCAGGTATTCGTGTGCACATTATCGGTGCACTTTATTACATCATATTTCATACCATCTCAGTGAGATTTGATTATTATGATTTGCTATATCAGTTAGTTTAAAAGCTTGCTATATTACTTCGTTTTTAAAGCTGTAAGTATGATCATTATGCCTTGCTCGTACCTCGTTGCTCTTGCAGTATTTGTACATTGGTATGTTTTTTTCCTCCTTTCCGCCAGTCGGCTATTGGTGGTACCGAAGAGTAAGATTACCGAAGCCCTCCAGGAATGCCATGATACGCCTTCTGGAGGTCACTTCGGGGTGAGGAAAACTTTGGCGAAAATTCGACAACGCTTCTTTTGGCCGAACCACCGAAGGGATGTGGAGGATTGGTGTCGCCGGTGCCATAGCTGTTCCGCGAGGAAAGGACCTGCGGAGAAGGGAAGAGGAACCATGAAGGTTTATAACGTAGGAGCACCTTTTGAGAGGATAGCGCTCGACGTTGTTGGTCCCCTGCCGAGGTCTTCCGCTGGGAACAGATTTGCGCTGGTTGTGATGGATTATTTTTCGAAGTGGCCAGAGGTGATTCCACTTCCTAACCAGCGAGCGACAACAATTTCCACAGCGTTGCTGAAGGAAGTGATAAGCCGACACGGAGTTCCGCTCGAGCTGCACTCCGATCAGGGTCGGAGTTTTGAGTCAAGCATCTTCAAGGAGCTAATGAAGATACTTGGAATCAAGAAGACGAGGACAACTCCATTACACCCTCAGTCGGACGGGCTCGTAGAGCGGATGATAAGAACCTTGTTGCGATATCTGTCTCAGTTTGTTGCAGAACACCAAAAGGACTGGGACGAATGGATTCCAACGTTCTTGCTGGCTTATCGTTCTTCGCAACATGAAGTGACACAGAATACGCCGTCGATGGTCCTCACGGGACGGGAGCTGCGCCTTCCTCTGGATCTTCTAAGGGGAGCTGTTTCTTCTAAGGGGAAAGAAGAAGATGGTTACATCGAGAAAACCAGAAAAAGAATAGAAGAAGTTCATAAATTCGTTCGACAGCGGATGCGAATTTGTTCGGAGAGAACGAAGTCGTGGTATGATTCGTTCTCGAGATCAATTTCCTTTGTTCCTGGAGAGAAGGTGTGGTTGTACAATCCTCGAAGAACGAAGGGAAGATGCCCGAAGCTCCAGTACGACTGGGAGGGACCCTACGAGGTAAAAAAATCGGCTTAATGAGTTGATTTATCGAATAGCTCGTTCACCGAAGTCCAAACCGAGGGTCGTACATGTGAATCGACTCGCTCGGTACGATTCACGGGAGGTTTCCTGTAAGGATACAGGGAGATGAGGATCGAGGAGGATGGCCGACATCTTCGCCCAAGAAGAGGACGTTTCGTCGCAGAAGGCTAGGGTGGGGGTTACTTGCTGGCGGCGGACAGCCTCTCTTCTTTGCGTGTCGCAAACGGTCGTGGAAGCGTAATCCTCACCGGGAGGGTTACCCCACAGCCGGGGCTCCATCCGGATGGGGTTCTGGTGGCCGGACTGCAAAGTCGTAGTATGTTCCGGACAACCATTTCATCGAGGAAATTCTCCTTGATGATTGGGGAACATCTCTAGGGGGGCTGTTCCGTTTAGTTGGGGGAACTCACATCCGAGAAGACGTCAAGAAAGAAGCGCGCAAGTCGCAAGTATTCAAGGGGAAGGGCGAGGAGCAGTCGGGGTCTCTTCATTCTCGCAGAGGAATTTTGGAAGTTGCACCGGCGTCTTGCTCAAGGTTTTTGAGTGGTTTTCCTTGAGACGGAGGACGAATGTCAAGGCGCTAACTGTCTGGTAAAGGCCACTCAGGTAAACGTTCGATCTATTCGTTTATTTACTTTACAGACAGAGGTGTTTTAAACTCGAGGCAGATTTGGAGGTTGGAGGCACACACTGAAGTTGCCTGTCCGAGCTGAATCTGCCGCGGTCGGGACGTCCGCGTTTTGAAGAGGGGGAGCAGTGTTGCGACGGACTGAAGATGCATCGTTGCGGCAACGTGAAGACTGTTCCGCAACGATGTGAAACCTGCTCCTCCGAACGAGCGGAAGCGAGAGCCCGTTCCTTCCGGTTGCCAGAGGAACCGGCAACGATTCGAAAGATCAGAACTACGTGAGATCTCATAGAGAGCGGACGTATTAGAATTGTGCACTGTACGAATAAAGCTTGTTCTTGTTAGTTGGTTTACGTTCTCAGTTCTACGTTAATCTGTTCCGTGTTAATATGAGTTGTGCGCGAAACACCTCGTCCCGGCGCAACAGTACTATATATATTGCATGGAAAATGTTTACTTATAAGTTTTACAATAAATCGGTCTTTGCTACCAGTAAAAGTTACTTGATAAAGTAAGACTACAAACTATATTTACTTATTTACATGTGTTTCACATATTTACACATCTTTATTAAGCACTGTAATTATTGTATTATCTTGATTTATTGTATACTATATGTAAATAGATCTTTCACGTTATATATCATTTTATTTTCTAAATACAACACATATGTGCATTTTATTTACCACGTTCTTTTAAAATTTTTTTACTTTAGTATTTATACAATGTTTCATTTGATTTTATTTTTAATTTTGCATGGTTTTTTTGTGCCCACTGCACTGCCATGCCTCGTTGGTTGGTAATATGCATGTAGTTATAAATCCGGAAATGGTTATGGAGGTGGAAGCTAGGATGAATAGAGCTTACCTTCCATCACGACTCTTACGAACTCACCTTAGAGGATCAACGCTTCCACACCACAGGAAGACTTCTTTGTACCACACTAGCACTGGTAATTCTTGTGTGGATTTCTTTTTGCATTTATATGTAATTCGGGCAAATTTGCGCTACGTTCTATAAATCCACTGAATAACATCGTTATATATTTATGTATGTACATTGTATGATGTTTACAAGTACGTTCTACACAATTTTAATAAATACATAGTTAAATATTTTATTTACTGTTTTCAGTTGGTAATAGAGACTCGTATAAGGAACCAAGCACTCATGTTGCCACTGAAAGGTACTCGCCCGTTCGGAGAGCATCAGAGGGTTCAGGTCCATCTGGACCTGGAATTCAGGCACTTCAACAAGAGTATCAACAACTGCAAAGGTTAGCATCTCCGTCGCATAGTCCTGCAAGTATACATGGATCTCCTGTACATGAGAGAGGGGTAGCAGCAATCACACAAGGTATTCTTTACTCCATATATTTACAAATTTTTATACGTTTTCATTTAAACCAATTAATAATATTTTAAATGTTAAGATTAAATTATAAGATTCTTCATCGTGCTTCAAGTAATTTCAGTAATCATTTGTTTTATTAATAGGTTTGAGTGGACTAACCACAACAACAGTACAAGGCAGCATTGTACATGGTACTCCAACACAACCACCAGCAACGCCATTAGATTTGAGTCCATTAAGACATCATAGATCACCAGCAACAACACCAGTTAGTTAACAACACCTAGTAATAGTCCTGCTTTGGACATGATTCAGGAATAACATCCTGTAGAATTACCAAGAGTAAGTAATCATTTTCAATTGTCACTTAAGCGATCCGTATTATTTTTTAAAGAAAATAATTTAAAAAGTAATATAATTTATAGTTTATTTTAAGTATTTTTGCGAAAGTATTACAATGTAATGATTATTTGTTGTAGGTGCCACCTCAAATATCTATAACAGATCTTGGAGGGCAAGTAACACTTATCAGTTGTTCACCCTCGCCATCTCCATCACCTGATTCACTTGAAGATACATTACCTCATTATAATCCTCTTCCCAGCTTTATTATCTCAGAACCATGTGACCCTTTAAGACCCAGTATCACACGAGGGAGGTATCGGTAGGCCGCTAAATACATCAATACCTACGGAAGTTGAAGTCACTTTATCGGATGAATCGAGTAGATTGAATTCCGAAGCTATATTGGGCCGTGTGAAACAAATTATAGATGCAAGAGCTCCACCAAAGGGATTTATCTTTAATAGAGAAGAAGTGAAAGGTAGTGGGCTTAGTTTAGAATATCCAGGCGGTGTTCAAATCGAACTGAGAGTATGTGAATCTGAAGAAAAAGAAGTAAAAGGCATTAAAATGCGAAGAATTAGTGGGGACCAATTGCAATACAGTCAACTTTGTCAACAGCTGATCTCGTGCATTACCGTTTGACGACAACCACCGTATAATATAATATCTTATATGTTACGTTACATTCCTGGTGCCACACACACCACTCATTACAGTATTGCACATGCATGCTGCATACATACGAGCGGTACCTTAAGCATACCATTCTTCATATTGATACATTCATTGTGCTTCGCTTTTGAATGTTGGTCTCTTTTTTTAACATATAAATCGAAAAAAGAAAAGTTTTAGGTTTACTTGCGCATAATATGAAGTTGGAACGAAAATGTTCTACTAAAACCTTCTTTTAAAGTCTTGATATTAAGACTTTAATATCCTTACACAGGCAAGTTGAGGTTCTGCTATTTTTAAATGATTTAAGTATTAACAAAACAGGACGATTTTCATGGAAGTTTAATCGTAATGTACATCACACACCATTCCTTTTTGTAGAATGTTTATCTTCATGTTAGATGTTTATAGATAGTAAATTCATAATTTACTGTTTAAATCATAATCGGGTGCCCTTTTTAGCATAGATAAAAGAAAAGCGTCTTTTGTACCGGATTCGGTGGCAAGTAACTACTTTCATGATACACGTCTTTCTAACGTAGTGGGGATGTTTTATATGGGATTTACTATATTTATTCGATTGCCATTGCAAACAGTTTTAATTTAATGGTCTGTATTCCATGTTTGTAAATATTCCTCCTACAAAGATCGAAATCTTTTCCTGTCTTTTATGTTAATTGGGAGTGCAAGATTTGCCTTTTTGTTTCTGGTACAAATACCACTTTGTTGGGTAATTTAATTTTAGTAGCTAAAAATGTATACATAATCTTTATATAGTGCAAACACATTGTGGTTCATAATTAAAAAACTACACAGACTGAGTCACGACTGTATATCTTTCTTTTTGAAAATCATATATTTGCGTTTATTGCAACTTATGAACGAATAATAATTGCTTAGTAATTTCAGTATCAATGATTTTATGAATCTTTGAAACCATAAAGCATTGATGTACGAGAAGTGTGCTTTCCATCTGTTTCACTTATTAAGCATTTAATTGTCACAGTTTAAAAAGGAAAGTGTGCAACTAGCTCTCCCTTGTGTAACCAAAGAGTCGAGTTGCTTTTATATTGTTGAACATGAGGGGTATATATTTTACTGCTCGTGTTTTAAAAACAAAAGGAAGATATAAACATTCATAGTTGGAAGGCTTTGTATTTGAGTAACCGTCGCGTCGAGACAATTCGAGAACATTCGACGAGACCCAGATATAAATAGTACAGGCCAGCGTGTCGAGCCGGCAGTTCGTCAATAAACGGCATACCTTACAGATCCGTATAACTATTTTTGAGCGTTCGCACTGCAGTACAGACGCGGAGAGCAGTCCAGGTTTCTTTTTCTGTGAACCGGATTCTTTCTATTCAATTCTTGAATTCCGCGTTCGTGGTTAGTGCAGTGTGATGTGTGATGAAGCAAATAGCAAGAAGAAGAGTAAGGAGGATGGAGATGAAACCGATAAACGGTGTTCAACTTCCAATAAGAAAAAACGGCTTGTGTTATCGGCACATCGCTACTCAAAGAGTAAAAAGCGTCGAGAAAGGTAAGTTACGCTTTATTAGATACATAAATAAATAATAAATGGTAGGATAAAGTTTCAATTTTTCGATTTTGATGACACTTTACATAAATATTTATTAGACCTCTCTAAGAGGACGGGTGTAATTCGTTCGCGCCCGTTTTGCACTTTGAAGGATATATCAACCCTTTTATTCCAACCGCCCTTTCTATGTACGTGCTTATAAGTCGTAAACAACAAAAGAAATCGAAAAATAGTTGAAAAATAAGTTATATCGTTTCGGTAATTATTTAGATTACGGAGGGTAACACCGATTTCGGTGATTTTTGAATATGTTATAGAAATCAACATTTTAACACGTTGAGCGCCACGTCAGCCATCGGTGGCTGACACTAGACTTTCCGTTTAGGCCACGTCAGCCATCGATGGCTGACACTAGACTTTCCGTTTAGGCCACGTCAGCCATCGGTGGCTGACAGCGTGTAACATGAGAACTATAAAATTTACACTATTTTACGGAATTACAGAAATTTAAAATTTACTTAATTTGGTATCATTACAGGATTAACCCTTTGCGGTCGGTGCCGCCACTGTGGCGGCATTTCAAAACTATCGTAGAAGTCGGTGCCGCCGCTGTGGCGGCATGATCAAGAATCCAGAAAAACTGAGATTAACAGAATGCTAGCCATTTCGGACGTCTCACGCGTTATTTTACCATCGAGAAATATATGATAAGTAAATAGAAATCAATTTATAAATAAATAAAAATATAATAAATTATAAATTGAATTTCAAAGTTTAGTAAGAAATAAACATTCCAATTGTTCAGGATTTCCAGGTAGATTCATTGGCGATATTAATATATTTTTACTAAAAAAGATTGTGCAGTATGTTCCGACAGGAAAACCCCCGGCAAAAGGCGAGAAACACGAACATATTGTGATACATGTATTCGGAAGCCAGGGCTTCATATCGGCGATTGTTTTGAAATATATCACACGTTGTCAAATTACAATAGCTAAATCTTTCCGTTTTTATGTAGTTTAAGCCCTATTAAATATTACAAATCAGCATCAACATAGTGTGTGCTTTTAAATGTAGATATATCCACCTTAAATTGCTTAGGGAACAATGACTCCGAAAAGCTAAATTCGCCCCGACTTGCTGGTAGTCCCAGCCGAAAAATCTGCCGACCGCAAAGGGTTAATGGGATTCATTGTAACATGGCAAACATAAAAATGGTTCTCCTTCACAAGTATTACAAAACATTACATTTTTGTCATAACATAATTTACAGTACTTTCGAACTTCAGCGACTTTTCCCGATTTTCTTTGGAATATGTGTTCTTTTTTGGATCTTCTTGCAATTCTGCTCGGTGGAATGTTTTCTTTGTCACAACTTGTAAGATCGACTGCTAATTTTTTCCGAAATTGCGTGGCCTGAACGGGATTGTCTTAGAAATACGCGTGGCGCTCAACGTGTTAAACAACATTTCCCTATACATTATAACCGCCGCTCGGACTTAGTTTCCGAGATATTTCTTGAAAAAGATCGCTGCTACTACAATGAATTCTATCTATACGTACGTGCCGGTGGCAGCGTGTGTGTAAGCGTTCAATCGCCGATCGTTTATTGTTTCTACGGATCCATTTCCGGCCGCCTCGATATCTCTACAGAAACAAGAGACGATCGGCGATTGAACGCTTACACACACGCTGCCACCGGCACGTACGTATAGATAGAATTCATTGTAGTAGCAGCGATCTTTTTCAAGAAATATCGGAAACTAAGGCCGAGCGGCGGTTATACAGGGTGTTCGGCTACTAATAGTAAAAATTTTAATGAGCGATAGTAGAGGCCAAAATAAGACGAAAATCAAGAATACCAATTGCCCAACTGAGGCTTCGTTAAAAAGTTATTAACGTTTAAAGTTCCGCTCGTACTGAATTTTTTTCTCGAAAATGCGCAACATTTCGGGGATATGTCTATTCACCAAAAATGTTTGTAATTGACCTCCGCAACCGAAAATAATTTTTTCAGAACGATTTGAAATTTTTTTTTTTCGTCGGAAAAATTTCACACCTTTAAACTCGGTAGATTTTTTTCTCGAAAATGCGTAGGATTCCGGGGGTATGTGTATTCACCAAAAATGATTGTAATTGACCCCTGCAACCGAAAATAATTTTTTCAGAACGATTTGAAATTTTTTTTTCGTCGGAAAATTTAGGCACCTAATTAAATTTTCGGTAAGGAATTTTTTTCTCGAGAATGCGTAGGATTCCGGGGGTGTGTGTATTCACCAAAAATGATTGTAATTGAGCCCCGCAACCGAAAATAATTTTTCCACAACGATTTGCAATTTTTTAATTTTCTCGAATAATTTCACACCTTCTCTATTTTTTTTCTCGAAAGTGGGCAGGATTTCGTGGGTATGTCTAATGACAAAAACTGATTGTAATTGACCCCCCGCAACCGAAAATAATTTTTCCACAACGATTTGAAATTTTTTTTTCGTCGGAAAATTTAGGCACCTAATTAAATTTTCGGTAAGGAATTTTTTTCTCGAAAATGCGTAGGATTCCGGGGGTATGTGTATTCACCAAAAATGATTGTAATTGACCCCTGCAACCGAAAATAATTTTTTCAGAACGATTTGCAATTTTTTAATTTTCTCGAATAATTTCACACCTTCTCTATTTTTTTTCTCGAAAGTGGGCAGGATTTCGTGGGTATGTCTAATGACAAAAACTGATTGTAATTGACCCCCGCAACCGAAAATAATTTTTCCACAACGATTTGAAATTTTTTTTTTTTCGTCGGAAAATTTAGGCACCTAATTAAATTTTCGGTAAGGAATTTTTTTCTCGAGAATGCGTAGGATTCCGGGGGTGTGTGTATTCACCAAAAATGATTGTAATTGAGCCCCGCAACCGAAAATAATTTTTCCACAACGATTTGCAATTTTTTAATTTTCTCGAATAATTTCACACCTTCTCTATTTTTTTTCTCGAAAGTGGGCAGGATTTCGTGGGTATGTCTAATGACAAAAACTGATTGTAATTGACCCCCGCAACCGAAAATAATTTTTCAGAACGATTTGAAATTTTTTTTTTTTCGTCGGAAAATTTAGGCACCTAATTGGATTTTCAGTAAGGAATTTTTTTCTCGAAAGTGCGTACGATTTCGGAGGTAAGTGTAATGATAAAAAATGATTGTAATTGATCCCCGCAACCGAAAATAATTTTTTTTAAACGATTTGACAAATTTTTTTTCGCCGAAAAATTTCAGCACCTACTCGATTTTTTTTCTCGAAAGTAGATAGGATTTCGGAGGTATGTGTACTCACCAAAAATGATTGTAGTTGCCCCCCGCAACCGAAAATAATTTTTCCAGAACGATTTGAAATTTTTGAATTTAATTGTTAATAACTTTTTAACGAAGCTTCCATCAACAAATTAGTATTCTTGATTTTCGTCTTATTTTGGCCTCTACTATCGCTCATTAAAATTTTTGCTAGAGGTGGCCGAACACCCTGTATAGCAGCCACTCTTTAACAATATACGATGTATCTTTAGGATCATTGTCCTGTTGGAAATAATATATGGCTGGCATGTTTAATTTTAGAGCTGACGATTTCAAATTTTTATTCAAAATATCAAGATATTTTAGTTTGTCCATAATTGTTTCAATAAATTCGGTATTACCGACTCCATTTGCTGCCATACATCACCACAGCATTATTGAACCTCCCCCGTATTTTACAGTAACAACCGTATTCTTTCGATTGAACTCTGAATTCGGTTGTCTCCATACTATTATTTTTCCATCCGAATTAAATAAATTAATTTTAACTTCGTCGGAAAATATTAAGTTCTTCCAAAAATTTATATCACAACTTACATATTACATATTACGAATTACACCTGTCTTCTTAGATAGGTCTAATAAATGTTTGTGCAAAGTGTCATCAAAATCGGAGTGTATCAGTTCGCGGTGTTCCCTAGTCAGTTGTCAAACGCTGCATTAGCTGAGGTATCATTTTAATCGTGATGCCACCAAGAATCCATTCATGCTGTTTTCATTCTGAAATTATGAGAAATATAGAAATTCGAATAATACATTTTTGCTTCACTACGCGTTATTCTTTCATGTTTGAAAGAATGAAATTCTTCATTCTTCATTGTATCGATGAAAAAGATGGTCCCAAAGGATTTTTGATGTTCTTCCGATCAAAATGATACCTCTGTTTCCAAACTTTCCCCCCCAATGTAGACAGTAGCATGTATCTTATGTTGCTATGGCCCCTTTCCTTTTGTAAGCTTTTCTTGCTTCTATGCATGTTCCGCAAGTTATGGATTGCAATTATTGATTTTCTAAATATAGCCGAAGATTGAAAAACGCGACGTCTCTTGCGGTAAGTCAAGACCTCGTTACCTCGCCGGAAGAAGATAATACTGCAGGTACTTCTCATGAAGTAGTATGTACTTGCAAGTACTTCTACCAACACAATACCTCAAGAAGACGTAGGAAATTTGGAAGAGGTCATTGAAGAAGAAACGAATGAAGATATTGAAGATTGTGCAGATAACGACTGCAACTGGGTGGTAGAAGAAGATGAACCACAACAGGCGGAAGAAACAATTCCAGAGGCGATAGAGTTCGTAAATTTCTCGTATATGTTCCAGCAAATGAAACGTTTACAGCAACATTCCACGATTGGCTGCGGCATCGAACATTGTCAAATAATTGAATGCCAACAGTACGGTTTAGAGAAAACGTACAGTGTCCAGTGCCAAATATGCAATCATGTAGAGCGCATATCCTGCCTTCGGCAGAGTAAAGACACAATGGGCATTAACCACGCCGCTGAGTCTGCAACAATGGTGACAGGCGGCGGATACAATCAGCTGGAGGAACTGTTGTCCGGTATAAATGTATCCTGCATGTCGAGAAGAATTTATAAGAAATGTCAGAATGACATAATCGATGCATTCGAAGTGGCCGCACAACGTGAAATGGAAGATGCTGCGAAAGAGGAAAGGGAACTAGCCATAGCAAGAGGCGATGTATTACCAGGGTGTAATATACCGTGGATCGCAGTAGTCGCAGATGGAAGTTGGATGAAACGGTCATACCGCGGAGGAGATTATAATTCTCTCTCTGGCGTAGGAGTCATCGTGGGTTATAACACCCAGAAAGTGCTACACGCAAACGTGAAGAACAAATTTTGCATGATTTGCCAAACGGCGGCGAAAAAAAAGGAAGAAGCGCACGAGCATCGGTGCTTTAAAAACTGGGGTCGTAATCAGAGTTCGACTGGCATGGAAAGTGCTGCTATAATCGAAGGTTTTAAATGCAGTATAGAAATGCGTGGCCTTGTTTACTCCATACTAGTTGCCGATGGCGATAGCAGTGTGTACAAAAAGATATTGGACAATGATCCATATAAAGAGTATATGGTGCAAGTACGAAAAATAGAATGCACCAATCACCTGCTACGGAATTTCAGTAGAAAAATTAATGACATCGGAGCAAAAGGCAGATGCAAAGAGCTAAGAGCTGTCGTAAAGGCTAATGCTCTCCGCCTGCGTACTGCTGTAAAGAAAGCAGCAGAATACCGGTTCAAAGAAAAATTAAGACTCGTAGATCAAATAAAAAATTTAAAAGAAGACATGAAAAATGTACCGAGTCACGTTTTCGGAGAACACAAGGAGTGTCAGAGATTAGCATACTTCTGCAAGAAATACTCTGACTCAAATATTGTGAACTACGTTCCACAATTGATGCAAGCTGGTATTTTTCAAAATATACAAGAAGCGATGCAACCACTTTTCGCCCAAGCCGAAAGTTTGCTGTACTCTCTAAACAATAATGCTGTTGAGAGTTTTAATAATATCGTCGCCAAATTTATCGGAGGCAAAAGGATAAATTTTGGACGAAGAGGTTCCTATCAAGGTAGAGTCTCCGCTGCTGTCGTACAATTTAATACGAAAGAGGCATTCAGCAAAGTGAGCACGGCAATGAATAAACAGCCGACAGCCATCGCAAAAAGGATGGAAGAACGTCGCAAGCATGCAGCGAAAATGGCAAGAAAATATAAACAAGAAGCGAAAGCATCCTCCTTCCGAAACGAGAAACAATCGTGCGATCAGGATTACGGCCCCAGTGCAGAGAAGCCAGATATGGACGAAGCAGTATACTTTTCGGAGTGTCAAAGGCACTTGGCTATACTGCATGAGTGGCAAACGATGCGATGCCAGATTGAAGCAGAAACTCGCGATCAAGCAAACAGCGAGAAAGGGGGAGGAACATGTCATCCTTCCCCCCGGGATGAGCCTCGACAGGCAAGGCAAGGCGGGGGACTCTGTGATGGCGGAGGACGGTCACCGTGGGGTTTTAGCCGGTAAGAGTCCGGCACTACCCCGAGGCCCCCCTACTTGGGGCCTCGGGGTGTCCATGAGGATTTCCCCACGTACAATACATTTAAATTTGTATTGTATACCAAATTATTACAATTTGTTCTAACTTTCTGTCACAGGTTCTATTAGTAGTAATTGCAACTGAAAGGGGCCAGTACCGTTGCAAGAAAATATATATGAGAAACAGTCATAATACATTCTTCAGAAGATGTAAGTATTGCTTTCTACATTCAAGTGGTATACACCACAAGACTAATTTTTATTACATTTCTTTCTGTTGTATGTCAGGCAGGGTATGAGTGGAAGGGGCATGTGTGTCTGTGTGTGTGTGTGTGAGTGTCGCGAAGAGCGACGCGATTCCGACGCGCGCGGCCAGGACTCGAGTTAATGTACGAGGCCCGTGCAAGAAGGATCCGTAAACCGAGTCACTGCGAAATATTAAAATAAACAAATTTATCGTTGTCTACTATAAAACTTGTCTTTTCTTTTATTTTCGTTCCTGTATGCTACATTTCTTTTTACAGATGAAAGCAAGACGTACAGCACGTTATTTCAAGAGGTGTGGTCCAGAGAAGGTATCATAACTGTAGGAATAAAATAATTGCTAGAGCGATCGATGAACTCGTATAAAAGTAGGCAAAGGTTTTGGGTGCTCACGCGTTTTTGTCCGGGACACTCATTGTTACGAGACGCTCCGAATAACAAAGCGCGCGTCAAAATATGACAAGTGAACGGCCGCAAGGATGAGTGTGAGAGAGAGAATGCGAGTGAGTGAGTGTGACAGAGTGAAGGTGCGATAACCCGCGAGCAGGTCGACAATAGTATATAAGCAGCGTAACAGCTGACGAAAACAAGAGTCTTCAAAAGAGTGTATATAGAGCGCGAACACGAGTTTCAGTTGTATCGATTACCGGCGAAATAAAATATTTTTATCACCACGTTCCTTATTTCTAAATCCCACATAACATAACCTTGATATAATCTTATGTATTGTAATGTGCGTTCGATAAGTACTTTGTGTATCAGGCGTTCATTTATGTTAGGATAAGTGCATAACTTTCCTGTTCTGTTTGTGTTTTCCTAATAAAAAGCTGTATTAAATAAAATAAAAATAAAAATAAAATATGTATACGTATGCTATATTTGTCCTTTCTTTAAAATGTACATACTGAAGTCATGACGCGATTTAACCAGTACATATACAATATTAAATCAACAACGAAATTTATTTTTATTTTTTATTCCTTTTCTCAAACTTCATCAACATATTCGTAACACTTTTCTTATTAAAATGACACCAAATACAATATATGTATGTACAATTCAGATCCTATTTACTAACGCAATAAGCGATCAAAGGCATGCATCGCTCAGGTCACTCCACATCGACTGTATCGAAACACAGGCGATGTTTACGGGAGCCTATACAGAATCAGTATTTCATTCTGCGACCTCTGCCAAGAGAGGTAGAGGTTGGAATTAGAACACCGATATCGTATAGGCTACCGTAAACATCGCCTGTGTTTTGCCACAGCCGACCCGAAGCGAAAGAAACGATATCAAAGTCGACGATCCTCGAGCGCTCAGTTCCTCTTTGTCATATGCTCGCTGTTCTTTTCTACACTCTCGCCGCCTCCAGTAAGCGTCAACAAAGAATCGTTTCTCGTCCACGCTACAGCCGAGCATTGAGCCCCGAGAGTATCACTTCTATAGAGAAAATACTGTATTGCTTTTTACATTCAAGTGGTATAAACCACAAGAGTAATTTTTATTACATTGGTAATTATTCAGAAAAGGTGGGGTCTCACCGAATTCGATGATTTTTGAATATGTTGTAAAAATCAACATTTTGAACAACTTCTTCCTATACATATAACCGCCGCTCGGCCTTAGTTTCCGAGATTTCTCTTCAAAAAGATCGCTGCTACTACATGAATTGTATCTATACGTAAGTACATGCTGTGGCAGCGTGTGTGTAAGCGTTCAATCGCCGATTGTTCACTGTTTCTATAGATGCATCGAGGCGGCCGACAATGGGTGTGCCTAACGGCAGC